AAACATTTTTCTAAACCTGATAATGATTCATAAATAAACACCTACAATTCTCTTGGTTCTTGTCTCTTTTAAACGTTTCTTGTCCTCTAATTCCTCTCGTCTAAATGTCTGATTTCTTGCTGTTCCCTCACCTCTAAGCGTCTTCTCTTCTGCTTTTTTCCCCATTAAAAATGTTAGTTTATCGGGGCTGCAAAAGAAAAAAGAAAGAAGCAAACTGGCTGATTTCTGCATAAAGAGAGGGCCAATATGTCCTTAAGTGACCTGCGATAAGTGCGGAACTCAAGATCAGCAAAGTTTAATGGCTTTTTTTGAGAAAGTATAATTGCTGTTTATGTGCAGGGACCGAAAAATGTCAGATTTTTATTTGTTAGATAAAAAAGTGAAAACAATAATATACAGGGTGGCCTCATTTTTTTCCCGGAAAACTGCAGAGGGTGACAGCACTCACGAAAATAAGCAGAAAAGTTCAAATTAATTTGTACCAGAAAACCCTTCGTTTTTGAGATACCGGGTGTTGAGGCTAGAGAATCATGCAATAATGGAATGTTTCGTTAGTAACTAGAAAGAACGAAATTTGAAAAAAATTGCGCGACTTCTGTGGCACAGCGTTAGAAAGTCGGGGGCGGTTAAAGGAAACTTAAACCCTGAGAAACTGTTTTTCCTGTGGATTTTTACAACTTTTCGACACTTTGAACCATGTAAACCCCTGAGGGTAACCCACCTTTGAAATTTCGAACTAATGACGGAAAAACTCCAAGCACCAGAACGGAAAAACTACATAAAACTTCCAGCTTCCACACCCTGTATCTGGGAAACTAAGGGTTTACGCACACACGGTTACATAAACTGGTCTACCTATTTTTTTGGGTTCTGTCGCTCATCACCCTGTATATTTTAAATTGCATTAATTATAACACTTGACCCGTGCCGGGGCCATCCAGATAAAATCGAAAAATCCGAATACAGACCGCATACAGGGTGTTTGAAAAATACCAAATAAAAACGTTGTGTCTATCTAAAGAAAAAAATTAGCTTTCCAATTTGGACACAATTCGAAAATCTATGGCAAAGAAGGAAGATTTTTAGTTTAAACTCTGTTGAAGATGGCTGTTTTAAACGCAAGAGAAACGTCGGGAGGAGATTTGAGGCACAACTTCTGCAAGCTCCAGATGAAAAAGAGTTGAGGAAGGTAACTGCGGTGGTATAAAGAGGAGTTTTTCTTCGGATGTTGGTATTTTCGTGTAGAAAAACGCATTTCAGTGCAGCTGAATGTTCGATGTAAACGCGACAAACTGAAGGCGATATTTTCAGTATCCTGGAGCCGGCAGGCAACTGAGGAGTTCAGTGTCTGCCACCTTCTGATTTTGATGCACATTTTCGGTTAAGACTGTGACATCGACCTCGAATTGGTACCCGACAGAGCATCGCTCCCATCAGTTAATTGAGTAGTGCTCAAGTTCCTTCACTTCTGGACTTTCGGTAAGTTTTTGCAAGAATTTTGGAAAAAATCCAGCTTTGATTTTTTTACCAACAATTATTGTTCAACTTTCCCCTGCAGGAAATTGAACCGAATAATCTCATCCTGGTGTTTGATAGCGCCGATCCCTAATATGCTATCGAGATCTATTTCAGTGCAATCAGAGCCGCATGAAGCAGCTTTTTAAAAATACCGTAAATTGTTCGGTTTGTCGGTTTCGAGCGCATTATGCTCGTCCATATGGGCTGTTAATGGGGGTTTTCGACCCCCGAAACGTAAATAAACCGGGGAAAACCAGTAAAATTGTCACCGTCGAAGAACTTGACTGAAAATTCAACAGAATTCATAGCGCAAAACTTCGCCTAAAATTGCATTTTATTGGGCGTTTGATGAGATCGAAACCAGCTGGAAATCTGTAGATTTACTTTGATTTGGAAGCTAATTAATCAGGAGGTGTTTTATTTTTTTTTCGGTTAGGTTTAGGAAATGCTCTCTTTCGAATAGGGAGGTTACAAGAGGCCAAACTAAGTAGGTAAATAGCAACCGTGCATTGTTTCTCGTCATGCTCTTAATAATTCAGTAAAACGGTAAATATTGGTTTTGCTTTTAGATAATATGAAATATCAGTAAGATACGAAAACATGTTTTCCAAAAAAATATATTTTTGTGGCTTCTATAACACACAAACCGCTAACGCTACTGGCTTTTTTGTGCGTCAATGCAAATTAAATCAATCCAGTTCAGCTTGTTGAAAAAACAACATAATCCCCGTAGAAAACAACTTCATTGCTTATGGAAATAGATAATTGGTTCACATTCATTCCGCTTAAATATGTGAAGGTTTAGTGGCAATCACTTTCCGTTGCTATTTTTTATTGGAGGGGTTTTCACTTTCAAAAGCTCGCCTAAAAGTGTTTACCAATCTCTCAAGGTATACGACCGTATTATCATGTCAATAACATCGCTATTAATATTTTTTAAGGTACGTCGCTCGCATCCTGCAGACGAAATCGATGCTGGCCAAATAAACAGGTTGTTTTTCTCTAATTAAAACCGTATTTTTATGGAAAACACATTAATTCAACAGGCGATTAAATGGGATCTTGTTTGGCCTTCAAAATTCCTCTTATAAAATTTAAAACTTTCTAACTAGAACAATTGGCTTTTTGAAACTTTTATGCAGTAAAGATAATGCATTCTGGTACTTCAAGGAGAAAAGTTGCACAAACTACGCGGACACTGATTTTTGAGGAGCGCCCAAAAATTGCAATATTTTAACAACTCACGCTCTCTAAAAAAAATTAAAATTTCCCAACTAGACAATCTGGCTGCTTGAAACTTTTATGCAATAAAGATAATGCATTCTGGTACTTCAAGGAGAAAAGTTGCACAAAAATACGCAGATACTGATTTTTGAGAAGCGCCCAAAAATTACAATATTTTAACATGTCACGCTCTCTTAAAAAAAAATTCAAACTTCTTAACTAGACAATCTGGCTTCTTGAAACTTTTATGCAGTAAAGATAATGCATTCTGGTACTTCAGGGAGAAAAGTTGCACAAAAATATGCGAACACTGATTTTTGATAAGCGCCCAAAAATTTCAATATTCCAGACACTTATCACGTTCTCTTAAAAAAAATTATAACTTCCTAACTAGACCAGCTAACTTCTTGAAATTTTTATGCGGTAAAGACAATGCATTAAGGTGCTTGAGGTAGAAAAGTTGCACAAAAATACGTAGACAATGAGTTTTGGGAAGCCCCCAAAATGATAATATTTTAACCACATGTCACGCTCTCTTAAAAAAATTAAAACTTCCTAACTAGACAATCTGGCTTCTTGAAACTTTTATGCAGTAAAGATAATGCATTCTGGTGCTTCAAGGAGAAAAGTTGCACAAAAATACGCAGATACTGATTTTTGAGAAGCGCCCAAAAATTA